TAGTTACTGATCATATACTGCTTACTGGAATTATGCAGTTGTTGTTGTTGTTATTATTATTATTATTATTATTATTTGTACATCTGTCCATCTGTCTGTATACCTACCTTTTTATTAAAGTCCTTCCAAGTATTAACAATTTATATTATATGATTAATATACAATACAATCATAATATAATTGTTTCAGCAAACACTAATAACTGAAAGCAGTGTGTATGTCTGATTTTTTGACTCCAATATTAATATCTGACTGCTGTCATAGGAGTTAGATTGTCATTCATACTTATACAAAACAAAGAGCTTGATACAGTAGATCCCCAGGAACATCATCAAAAAGATTTGTAGACCCAGTCAGCGGGTTTCCTTTCAGCTAGAGGCACTCTCTGGCTCCTGTCTGTGCCACAGATATACAGCTGCCCTCACTGCCTGTATCCACTCTCTGCTATCTGACCCCACTGCTTCACCTCTGCTAAGACCTCAGTGTTCTCGTCACCTACAGAAGAATGACTGCTTAGCACACCTCGGTTATTAGCACCCGTCTTAAGGTTGTGTTGTTGTGTGTTTCAGGATCCCAACTGGTACAGAGCGAGAAACACAGTGGGCAGAGAAGGCACCATCCCGGCCAACTATGTCCAGAAAAGGGAAGGTGTCAAGTCAGGAGGGAAACTCAGTCTCATGCCGTAAGTACTAGAGGGGTAATGGAGAAGAACCTCAACATAACTGTGTGTGTGTGTGTGTGTGTGTGTGTGTGTGTAGGGGGCTTTCTTGAATGTCTCATGTATTTATTTAGAAACCTGCCAAAGTGTAGTACAGGAATATGACAATATGCAGCAGTAATCAGAATAACCATCTTAGCTATGTTTATTTCTTCTCCTTCTTTGCTACAAATGCTCTCTTTCCTTGTTAAGTGTAAACAACTTGTTGGACCTCCATTCACTTCAGCTCCCTGCAGCGAGGGAAAATGCAGTGCTGATTTCAAACATCAGACAAAGCATCAAAAGATGGAAATTCAATCTTACGTCTTTTGGTTTGTACTGTGTCTTCTCTCGTCTGTGTCTGGCTGCTACAGAGGCCAGGACCAGCTGTGCGCTACATCTGAATCAAGCTCTTTGAAACAGCAGCTATTTCAAAAAGAGGAAAACATAACGAGAGGCGTATGCAAATGAAACGAGACAGGAAAGCCGAGAGCATACAGGCTGCCACAGTATCATCACATAGCTATGGGATGGTGTCATCTGATACACAACCCTTTTGTGTGTTTATCCCTCAAGTGATAATGAAGTATTTAAACTTTACAGATTAGTAGAACGGAAATGTAGGATTACAAGAAGAGGATAGTCACTCTCCTGGGAGAAGTGATGAACTGTGAGACATGTTCCACTATCAACTTGTGTTGAAATAAATCAAGCAGTGATTGTGAAGTCCCACTCTTTAAACATATTTAAGTTCATCAGTGTTTTCAGCGTTGTGCTTTTGTGCTGTTACAGAAAGTGACTAATTAGTGAATGTTTGAGGTCTTGTTGTTTTGGGTTGGTCCTCTTGGCTTGAGAACATTAAGGGCCGTCGTGTGTGGCTAAGTTGATTCATCCTTACATTACAATCCCAGGAGGAAGGCCCATATACCCTAAAGGGAGCGAGCTTGCTCCAGATACAGAGATCAGTCCGGGGCAGTCGTAAGCTTGAGAGTTTTTTGTTCAACAGTGCTTATAGAGATGGTGGTATGTCACTGTAACATCAGCAGGAAACATTTAAATAGACCTTTGACCCTCTTTGTCTAGCTTCATCAACTGCTGCTGAAAGCTTTAACCTCTCCCTTTGCCACCGCTCATACTGCCTGTCCACACCATTTTGAAATGGTCATGGGGTCATCCAGCTCTGGCATTGGGATTCTGTGCATGTGTGTGTGGTCTGAAGAGGCCCAATGGTAACTTTAAATTAGCCTTATGCAACTGTGAGGGTTTTGCTTACAACAACAGCATGAATATCTGAACTCCAATGGTAGCTTACTTACTTTGTTGTATTTGTATTTCTGATTAGATTTAACTTTACTTACAGATGGTTATATAGATGAATCATTTAGTTGCTAGTTACCAAATACTCATTACAAATTTCCCTTTAAGGATTTAGAGTCCTAAATATTTTGCATGGTTACGCTTTCTGACGTCATGTCTTTACTGCTGCCTTTTTTCATTTGCATTTTTTCAAAACACCCAAATCATTAGAAGTCATTCCTCTGGAGGACTTGTTGATTTTTTTTGTGTGAATGACTAACAGATGTCTCAGTGAAGACCTCTCCCTCTCCTATGGGTTACATAAGGGTTCAGCTGTGGTCTTCTGTCCACTTACTCACCCGGACCGATTGCTACTCAGCAGTAGATACAGTCCTCGCCTCCCTCACTGGCATATAACAGCCTGCCCTCTCTGCTGCCCCCATGTGGCAGACATCTGCCACTCATAACAGCACCACCCTTAAAGAAAGCTGGCGTGTTCAGCCCAGCTGCCCTACTTCCTCCCACCCTTGTTGGAAGTTGTTTACCGCATTTTTGTGTTTTTTTTTTTATTCCAGTATGATGTAATGTACGAAAACTGCTGTTAATTGCCATGGACAGAACAGCTAGTGTGTGTCCACCAAGTGCTATGTGTGTCTCTGGGCTGTCCACGCTTGGCGCCTGCTCTTGGATTAGTGGGAGTTAAGGAGCTGCTGTCCATCGGAGAAGCTGCCTGCACTGATCTAATCAACTCAACCCGTATTAAGCTGCTTTGCTACGAGGGCCTCTGCTGAGGCTGAGTACGAAGAGGAGGAGGAGCAGGTAGGAGTGACGGAGGCAGACCCTGGAAAAGGGGCAAAATCAATTACAGCCGTTGATTACCACCCATTCACCAGCCAAGACGGATAGAGGGACCCTGCGGGCTGCTACTATTTGCAGCTAAAACGACCTTTCACACAAGGAGTGACATAAATCAATGGGGTACAGTGCTGGGGATCGTAGTGTGCTTGACCTCAGGGCCACAGGTCTACAGAGGCAGAAGAGAAGTGATTTAAAATTTCTGAATCCTTACAATGAGATACACTACACTTTATTATATATTTGTGGCTCAGAGATAATTCATTTTCAGTTTAATACAGAAACAACTGTGAGAAATATTTGTGTTGGCAAAGAGATTTGCCAACACAAAGACTAAATGTGTCAGTGAGTGCCGTCATCACATCCAGGTGTCTGTCAATTCTCTGCCATGTATGCAGGTGCATACTCAACTCAAGTTACATAGTAGTTAGTCAGTAATACAAAACCTCTGATGGTAAATGATGTAATGGTGATCAAAACGCTGGAAGGGCAAGACTGATGTGGCAATGCATGAAATCATGGTCATGAAGTGTGTTGTTGCTCTTGTTTTCCATTGTTTATGATCAGATGGAGAAGCCAAATCCAGCAG